AGAGTCTCTGGGGGAGATGGGTGGCATATTAAATAAATAAATAAATAAATAAATAAATAAATAAATAAATAAATAAATAAATCTTTTCTATATTAATTGAAGCAAAAAAGATAAGGGGGTACCAAAATCCCACTCCATACAAATGAATGTATTCAGAGGGAAATAGGACTACATATGAATTATATTATGATTCCCAGTGTATATCCATTTAACTTTCACTGGGAAAAAGGGGATATGTATAGAAAGCTGCTATACAACAGTAGTTGGCCAGACTAATTTTTTACGAGGAGGAGCTCTCCACACAGGTAGTCCTTGCTTAACATCAGTGACTGTTCAAAGTTACGATGGCGCTGAATGAAGGGACTCAAAGTTCTGTCCGTTGCAGCGCCACTGGTCACATGAACAAAATTCAGGCCCATTCACATTTACAACCGCCTTTTGGCCATCTGCCTATCCGCTGCTGCCAGCTGCCCAGCCCTGTCCCCGGCTGCCTCACCTCTCCCAGGACCTCCATTTGCTTGCCAGCCAGGGCCTCTGCTTGTATGCCAACCAAGATCTCTGTCTGCACACCAGCCAGGGCCTCTGTTCAGGCCCAGGGACTTCTTTTGCGAAAGAAGCTCGGTGTGTGAAGGATGGCCTCAGCTGCACTGGTACAAAAGAAGGCAACATGAAAGACGTCCCCAGCTGGTACAGTAGTGGCATGTGGTGCAGCGGGTGCAGTGGCGGCGGGCAGGGCTGGGTGACGGGGCAGCTGGCGGCAGCAGGTAGGCAGGCAGTCAAAAGGGCAGAGATGCAGGGGGGAAGTTAGGCAGGTGGGGGGAGTTCAAGAGGACGCAGTCCCATACCTTACTGAGGCTCAGGGCTGGAAGGGACCAAGCCTCGCCTAACAAACAGTGGGATTCAGTTAATGGCAATGGGGACTGCTGGGATTGCCATCGTTAAGCAACGTGATCACGTGACATCATGCTTTATGGTCATTGCCTAGCGATGGAAATTCTGGTCCCAATTACTGTTGTTAACTGAGGACTACCTGTATATAGAGAGAACTTTCCCCAGTGAATATGAAATAATTGTTTTTTGGGGAACTGGGACAACACTGAGTCATAATGAGCAGGACTAGGTTAATTAGGCCTATAATATGCATTCAGTACTAAAGGATTGTTCATACTCCTGTATAGTCCTGGGCCAATCATGGCTATAGTTTGTTCTGCTTCCTATACAGGCTTTCTAATTATGTCTCGAGTGAAACTTGCAATGAAAATATATTGACAGAGAAAGAAAAAAAAAAACTAACCATGTCACCCATATGGGGCTGAAACTCAAACTTCATCGGTGGGCAGAAGACACTGTTACACATTTCCATCAGGCGCTGCTTGTCGCTGTTGGCATCCAGGTTTTCAACAGCATTCTCAATGGCATCCAGGCCCTCGTGCTTTGATTGTTCTAGATTGAGCTCTGCTGATAGGAATGTCCTAAGTGCCCTACCAAGGCTGGCATGATACCCTAGGTCACAGCACTGCTGAAAGAAACAGGAAAGTAAAGACCACCTAAAATTCAGGAAACTGTTGAAGGAAAAGTTACAAATGATACAATATATCAACAGATAACACAGACAAATATTCAACTCAAAGGATCTATTATTTTCTGGAAGTCAGTAGTACACTAAAACATAAGTTTACTTAATAAATATAGGTACTTCCCAGGTTGTATGAGACCTAACTTATATAAATTCAACTTTACACAAATGTTTTTATAAGCCACATTTAAGGACAGAAAGAAAAAAAAAACTGTGTTACACCGGCAATATAAAGTAGTCCAGCACACAGCTGAATATCTTATTTACACAAAGTTTGAATTTGCAAAGCTTTTGGTTATGAAAATCAGGGAGCACCTGTAAAAAGTACTTTTTCCTTTTTTAAAAAAATACATCACTGAATTTGCTTAAACTGAAAACATGAATTTCTGTAGCAATTTGTTTTAGAAGGTGGAATTAAAACACAGTTCAGTTTGACACAACAGAATATCCTCCTTAAGACTGATTTATTAACTGATCCAGCCCACAGTAACCTGTCTTCCTAGATCCATATTCAATCTTCTTCTGAACTGGGACCATTCTCTGCTCTTCTGCTCCCAGTCCCTCACTCCTTTCCTCCAATGTTGTTCTCTTACCGTATCCAGCTGGATTGGCACCAATTACTTTCACTAGCTAGTTCCTTAGCTAGGACCCTACAACTAAAATCTCAGGAAAACTTCGCACAGTAGACATCTTTACAAGCTGTCTTTGAGGCACAGAACTAAATGTGTGGACAAGAACTGTGCTCCTGTTTCCGCATCCATACACCTACTGGAAGCCCAGATATTAAGAAGAACTTTTACAGAGAACACTTGCAGAGAAAATGTGCATCTATCTAGTTGATAGAAAATACTGAATTAGCTTGTAGAGGAGAAGATACACAAATGGCCTGAAAATAAAGTTAAACATGATTTAGCAATTGCACAATTAAATATAAAGGACAAGTCTTCATTCAAAAACTTGGAAACATGTCCTTTTCTAACATTTTTTTTTCTTCCTAGCGTTTTTCCCGTATGTGGAGGGTCTGCCTTTTTCGGGTTAGGGTTTCTAGCCTGGTGCCTTAACCACTAGACCAAACTGGCTTTCTTTTTCTAAAATATATACAGTACATTTTTTGTCATCCATTGTCTACTGAAATGCTTTTTAAATAATAAAAGAATCCCCCTTCCCAATTATACAGTAGGTGAAAAACAAGTGTATAGCTGATGAATAAAAGGATGTGAGCAGGGTATCGGGATAAGTTTATTCTATCACTTGGGTACATGACCCTTGCCCATACTGGCTAATTACATCCAGAAGCTGCTGACTGGGTCTGTGAAATAATAAATACACCTCTGCAAAAGAGGGCTTTAAGATGCTTCAAAAGAGGAAACTACAAAGTCTCTCTTGAAGAAATCAGTCCTGCAGCCCAAAGATGCTTTTCCTACTATGAGTGAAACATAAACACCCTTCTGCTTGCCTCCAGAGCAAGATGCCTATTATAGGATGTTCTGATGTCAATGTAGGAGCATGTGAAAGAAAGAGCAGAAACTTGTTAAATAAAATATGTAATCAAATAGTTGCTGATAGAGAAAAAGATACTGAAAAAAAATCCAAATAGAAGCCTGAAGTATTTTTTGCATTTACTATACAGTTACTCTATTATTTTTCAAGCCAAATCATATGAAAATAAGCTCCTGACATCACTTGATGAGAAAAACTTATATATCAGTAGAAGAGGAAGAATGGTTTCAGCTGGGGAAAGAGAAAGAAGGAGAAAGAGAGAGATTGATTGATTCCAGGAAGCCTTCTAAAAGGATGAAGTAGCCATCTGTTTGATAGATGCTTTAAGCCACAAGCTTACATCTCCCCCTTCTAGGCAAGTACTGCAGATAAACGGCAGAACAGAAATGCATGCACACGTGTGAGAGAGAAGAATCAAAAAGAGAAACATAAATGTATGTGCTTAAACTGAATCTTGCCATAGCCCGCTTGTGCTATGGGTACAGTGCCAAAAGTCTGTGGCAGGTGTGGAGAGTCTGCTTGTAAAGCAGCAATTGTTGGCTTTACTGGAAGCATGCAATGAAAGAACATTACATTTAGTCAAGAAGCATAAAGACTAAATAGGGGTAAACAAAAACAAAAGATGGTTGATTGAGAATCTGCACATGTTGAGGATATTTTTATGGTAAATAACTATTGAGCAGTTTCAGCTTTGCAACCAAATTAATATTCCATGTTTTTCACAGAGCATGGAAGACACATCTTGTGAATCTTGTCAATCAATCATGAGGCAGGTCACCAGAAATTTCAGAAAGACTAATATCCATCTGTGTTAATACGTGGTTTAGATTATCAGAGTTGAAGCCTTATGAATGAATTGTTCTCAGGTGTGGGTTTCTATCTATATAGGAGTAGATGCACTCATTTGTATATGTGAATCTATTTTTATATCTCCATTCATGGAATCTGAAAGTGAAATTCTAATTAATATATAATCCCTATTGGAAATCAGAAGAACAAGATTAATTCATCTATGTTTTCCACCTCATTTCTCAGCAGTCCTTCCTTATTTTTTGCATTTTAAAATATCCCGAAAATTACATTTACAAGTGTGTCAGTCTCACCCACCTTTCTTGGTTATATAAATGTTTGATGGAAGCATTTTCCAAAGATTATTTTAAAGATAAGAATTGAATGACTCAGACAAATTAAGTTCTCAACATGACAGCTGATTAACCTTCATCAGCTAAAAAAAATACTGAAATACAAAGCTGGTAAGATGGAGAAGAAAACATCCAGCATTCCAAAATTCAGTACAAAAAATACTTCATGTCTGTCCACACTTTTACAATTGCACATTTATTCTGCAAAACTACACTGATGAATATACAGATACAAATCTAGTAAATGAAGTGATTCCTATTTTTTCTATTTTGATTGTTCTTTATAATTAATCTTGTATTATTTGACCATATAGATAGTTAAAAAACTTAAATTTTGGAAAATAAATTTTAGTTGTAGCATTCATCCAAACTTACAGCAATAAGGACATAATGGGTGCTCGTTCATATTCACTCAGTAGAGCACCCTCTGGATTCATGGGTTTTTATGTTTTTGTTTCATTTTTGCTAGAGGATAATAATGATCTGAGTAGAAATGATAGTGCTTAGCTCAACTCCTTCACATTATCTTTCTCTTTTTAAAGGAGATTTAAGGATTTATTAAGAATAGAGCCCCCCAGCAGTATCCTTCATCATCCCCAATAAGCAAATACGTGGATGTTGATGTTTATAGTTCACCACATCTGAAAGGCATCTGAATAGGGAAAATGGAATTAAATTGATAAGAATACAAAAAAGCACCACCAGAAATTTCTTATAACATAAAATCAATGCCAATCAGAGCAAGATGGTAGGTTCTGGATATGTCTGTGGAGGCTTCTTAGTCATTGGTGTGATATGTTTTTATTTGGATTCCAACACTGAGTAGGGTGTTGGACTCAGTGGCCTAAACTGTCTCTCTTGACTTTATGGTTTTAATTTTTGTCCAATCTACATTTTAAGTAAACCACTCTAATTTGTACTTTCAGGAAGCAGTACAAAGATCAAACACAGTTCAGAATTCTGGGCTGCTCAAATATTTCATACAAACATGGATAAAACCAGTTTATAAAATTTTGCATGTTAGAAAAACTTGTATATGAAATAGATCTGAATTGTTATGAATGTGTTTTTCATACAGACTTAGTTCAACCCAGACTTACAGTAAATTCAATAAATGCTAGCCTAACAAAAACTGGAAAAGATTGACTTGTCTATCCCTACTACTAGCCTTCTATGGGCACTGTACTAAAGAAGGAGGCTAATTATTTGCTTGTTTGAACATTTATTTCATGTATTTTTTTTATGGTGTAGCAATTAATGTCTTGAATTGGGACTGAGAAGACCAGTTTCACCTATAGACATTTTCTGTCTCTCAGCCCAATCTCATAGCGTGACTGCCGGGGTGAAAAACTGGAGTAGGGAGTGTTATATATGCTGCCATGTGTATCCTGAAGGAAAGGTGGCTGTAGATCCATTGAATAAGGAGAAATGTAGATGTATTCTTTATTACTGACATTAGTTGTGTGAATCTCATGCATTCCTATATAACCTTAAGAAAATTCACCATCCACCTCAACAATTTGGGTTGGTCTCCAGATCATTTGGATAAATAAGGCTGTTTGAATCTTTCAGACATTTGAGATGAATTGCAAACCATTTTTAAGCATTCTGTTATAACTCTTGGAAATCATTCAACCAGTAGGTCAATACCCAAAAGCAGAAGAAAACATGAAGTATTCATAAAGAACCATTTTTTAAACTAAACTAGGAAAATCACATCCAAGGAAGAAAAAAAAAAACACCTGTTTTCTATTATTAGTAGGGTTACAGTTCAGAGCAAAATGGAGAGTAAATACCTCTAATAAACTTCTGAAACCGGGCAAAAGTGAGCATGAGATTTTATGAGTGGATGAATAACAGAGTAGTAAGTTTTCTAAAGAGTAAATGGACAAAGAGGAATTAATCTGCTTGTTTGGAGCCTCCTGTTTTCTCTTTCTCTCCCTCCCTCCCTCCCTCCCTCCCTATCAGTTAGCTTCAGGCTTCCTCAATGACTATTTTTTAACCTTGATTATGAAATGCTATTACAGCTGAAAGGCAGCATTCAGCAACAGTACTGAGGAACCAGTAAGCAATTCAATACAGTCAATGTACCAGCTCTATTGGATGGATAAGGGTACCAACATGATAGAGGACAAGATTATATTAATAAAACTTCAAAAATAAGTTCACAAGAAGGCAATGGCAAACTATTTCCATACTGTTACCTAGAACACTACATGGAGGCATTTATGTAATCACCAGGAATCAAACTTAATTTGAGAGAATTTTAACTATTAAAAAAAAAAAGACCATCATCATCAAGGCAGAAGTTAGCTATCTGTCACCCTTCAGTATACAGGTAGTGCTTGCTTACCGAATGTCTCATTTATTGACTGTTTGAAGTTATGATAGTGTAAAACAAAATAGCTTTGTGACTATTCCTCGCATTTATGACTATTGCAGCATCCCGCAGTCAAGTGATTGCCATCTCGGCACTTCACAACTGGTTTGTGATAGGCAGAGTTAACAGAGAAAGGGGAGGTAAAATTGTAAGTCATGGTTACATGATGTTTTGCTTAACGACTGTGGTGCTTCAGTTAACAACTGAAGTGGAAGTGAGGTCATAAGCCTGTTGCGGTCACATCATGTTTCGCTTAATGACTGTGGCACTTAGCAATGGACTTGCCAGTCCCAATTATGGTCACTAAGCAAGGACTACCTGTAAACAATACAGTCATATGTCCCACTCACATTTGTCTTAACCCAGTGGTCCACAAGTCAACTCACTATTGTCATATCTTCTACTACTGTCTGGCAAGGTTGATTAAGAGAGTCTTATCTCCCTCTCTTTACTGGAACTGGGAAGGAGACAAAAAGTATCTCCAAAATATACCCAAGATTTGGACAATTCAGTTTAACTTGTCTCAGATTCCCGTATGCCCCATCTCTAGTCCAAAGCTGGAATGTAAAGGTATAATATTTCATATTCAAAGCATTCAGAGCACTCAGTGCCACTTAATACCAAAGTAAGCTGAATTTTTTATCTGACTCTGGAGGAAAAGACTAGATATTGTATTTCTCAAAGTTTGTTTTAGAGGCATTTTGATTTGACTTAGCTACCTAACATCCAACTCCTAAATAAGGAAGGGGAAGATGAGATTTTGCTGATTTTGAAGACAGGTATGAGATGAAGTCAAGGACCAAAAGCCTATTCATGCCTGTTTTGTAGTACGTCCTACTGATGTGTGCAAGTAAAGTTGTTCCCAAGGCTTTCTATAGAAGTTGTGGAGTGTGGTCACTCAAAAAATGATATTAAAATAATGGAAGTGACCTGACAATTGCAGAATTTGGTTTGGCTATTTACTTAATTAGTGCTGTGTTTAAATGTTGTTGTCCTCGTATAACTGAATGAAAGACAGACTGAACACAGATAAAAGATAACATCTGCATATAGACTTCTGCCATTGAAGAAATTAACTGAGGAGAACAGCAAAATGAGGTCTGTAGCAGAAATATTCAGGAAATACACTACCATAGTACACTTACATCAATGAGATCAGACAGGTCATGGATATAATACTTGAATACAGATGCATTGGTGGCTTCCAGAGCCAGCAGATATTCATTTCTTGCCTTAATAGCCTTCAGTTTATTTTCTGTGTATTTTGCTTGGCGCTGAAAAGTAACCAAATGGAGTTTTATTACAAAAGAATTAAAACAAAGAAAGCAATAGCCTTGAAGGAAGAAAAAAATCCTGCAAAATCAAGAAATGATTTCACCATTTTCAACACTGCTTTCTTTTCATCTAGACTCTAAAAAAGCTAACACTTTTAGGCAAAATAAATGCATCATGTAGCAATGAATCAAAGAACTGTTGAATCCTGTAGAGACAGGAAGGTAATCTAATCCATAGATGGCCAGAAAGAAGCTCATAGGAACATGTAAGGTTAATATATCCAGTCCTAAAAGCATACTTGCATCCTGAAGATCCGTGCAGAATTTTGCTTGGCTCTGATATGGACACAGAGGACTGACATCAGCAGGAGGTACTAAAGAGCCAAGTGTGAAGAAAGGTCTGATACCCAAATCATCCAAATTACAGGGACAGATCATGTATCACTAGAACTTAATATACCATCTGCACTAAGCAGCTGGAAGCTTAGGCCCACACACACATTCACATTCCTCTGCCCATAAGAATAGAAAACACCCCTTCCTGATCTAGCCCAATCTCCGGAATCAAGACAGGATATTATACACATGGAACGTTCATAATTTAAACCTTCATCGTAAAGTCAAAGCTAATTCAGTATTTATTTCTTTTATCTATTTTCATTATTAAAAATACTCCAAAGAGGAGAACATTTAAAAATATTTTACAATAAATTAAAATAATTAGGATTAAGCTGTTATGGCTCTAATTATTTATTAAATATTGAAATCCTAAATACTATGATGCAGTATAATGCTGAACCAGACGGGAAGACACAGCAGCATCTGCCTACCCAAATACTTGGTGAAGAAGTCTTAAACTGTCACCAAAGGTTTATGATGCTTGCTGTCAACAGCATCTGAAGCAGAAAGACATTCCGCAGCTGAGATTGTGGAATCAAGTATGCCTACTCACAACTCACAGCATAGCAAATAGCCCATGGGTGCAGCATCCCCAGGATTTCACCTCCAGTACAGGTAGTCCTCGAGTTATTGGGACCAGGACTGCCAATGCTAACTGATGTGGTCATAAAGCATGACATCATGCGATCGCATTGCTTAGCGACAGCAATCCAGGCAGTGCCGATTGCCATTATAATCCCAAGACGTGCGGGTCGTTAAGTAGGAAGCAGCAGGAGTCCCAGGTGAGGGAGTGCGGGGGTGCCGCAGGGGAGTGGGGGAGGCCCTGGGAAGCCCTGAGCAGGCTGCCTGCCAGTTGTGGAAGGAGAGTGTTGTGGTGCAGCACAAGTGCAGGGAGGCCAGGAAAGGAGGGCGTGGAGTGTGAGAGTAGGGAGACCCAGGGAAGGAGGGCGCTGGTAGGTGCGTGCAAGTGCAGGGAGGCCCAGGGAAGGAGAGCGCTGATCAGTGTGTGGGTGCATATGAGCAAAGGGGGAAAAGGCACAGTGCATGCATGCGAGCAAAGGGAGGAAGTTGGACACGGTACATGCATGCAAAGAAAGGCGGGGGTGGGGAAGACTTACCCGAGCAACTTGTGACCTTCCCTGCTGGCTTCCCCATTGACTTTGCTTGTGGGAAGCTGGCAGGGAAGGTCCCAAATGGTGGTCAAGTGACCCTGGGATGCTGCAACCAGTCACAAGTGCAAGCTGGTTTGCCAAGTGCCCGAATTTTGTTCACGTGATGGCAGGGGCACTACAATGGCCAGAACTTTGAAGAGTGATCATAAGTCCCTTTGTTCAGCACCATCGTAACTTCGAATGGTCACTGAATGGTCAATCACTGAATGAATGGTCATAACTTGAGGACTACCTGTATATCGAGGAACAGTAAATCTCTTTCAAGAGAGGGAGAAAATGCATTGGCTATATAGCCCATAATTACTTTACTTGCTCCACGTATGATCCTAAGAAGAAAAGTTTGCCTGGATTTCTGTATCTCAGTACAATTAACTTTTCAAATTCAAAATATTACTTTTAAAAACAACATATCAAAAGTAATCTAGTGCAAATATTAACCCTTTTTTCCTCAACTTTTTAAATACAGTCTCTTTGCCTATGGCATTATACTACCTCTGCAAATTAGAAGATTTAAATATCAAATTGGCAACTGATTGATACATAATATCTTTGTGTACCATGCAAATCAGAGTTTCAGTTCAAATGCATTTATATAGTTCACTAGGGATAAGAAGAAATGGATGAGTGCCAAAACTACCTCCTCAAACTTTTGATTTCTATACCTCCTCATTCCATCTCATGAATACACATACCTAAATATAGTTCCCAGATCTCAGAATAATCCCTGAGCCATTAGGTAAGTATTTCGGCTATTTCCCCATTAAATAGCTCTTCCCCCTTAACGCCCTGATAGATACTCTATTGTGTGTTAGATTCACAGCAGCTTCACAGATTCACTCAGCAGCTGCTCTGGGTAAAGAGAGGTTTGCAATTACCCAGCAGTTAACCCTGTTGCGCACTCACCTTCTCTTTCATCTTCTCAATCTTCTTGACTGAGCTCCGTCGGACATGCTTTTCTTCAAACTTGACACTGGAGGCTGAATCAGGGGAGCGTGGAGTTTGCTTTTCCTCTTGCTTCACAGACTTACCAATCTGTTTTTCTTCCTGTTTCTCTGCCTCTTTCAGCTTGCTTTGAGCACTGATGCTGTCAGCATTGTACATGTGGTAGGTCTTCATTACCTGCAAAGGCAATTCTCACTTAACGAGCATTTTACTGTACTTTAAAAAATTTGCCCAGTTGGGAACAGTTGAACATTACTTGACCAATGCCTTTAACATAAACTTAAAATTCAAACAGAAAAACTATTCTACAAGCCTACTGTACAGATAGTCCTCAACTTATGACAGCAACTGGGACAATTTCCATTGCTAAGTGATGCAGTTGTAAAGCGCAACCACACTGCTTAGCGATGGCAATCCCTGCGGTCCCAGTTGCCATCGTTACTCAAATCCCACGGTTGTTAGATACGGCAATTTCCCGCCAGCTTCCCACAACCAAGTCAGTGAGGAAGCTGGCAGGAAGTTGCAAGTCCCAGGAGGTTTGCAAGTAAGCTGGCAGGCAGGTAAGTGGCTGCTGCTGGATGGGGGAGGGCACAAGGGGGTGCGTGACAATGCAAGGGAAATGTGGCAAGGCTCAGGGAGCGTGCGAGGGAGGCTCGGGGAGGGTGTGCATCGGTGTGAGGGAGGCATGGTGTGGCTCAGGAAGGGTGCGTGAGGGAGTGTGGGAGGCATGAGGGTTGGGAGGGTGTGCAAGGGTGCATGGGGGTGCACAAGGGTGCGAGGGAGGTGTGGCAAGGGCTTGGTAGGGTGTGGGTGGGCGGGCTAGGGGGGGTTGGGAAGGGCGTCCGAGGGCGGACAGGGGTGCGAGGGAGGCATGGTGTGGCTCAGGAAGGGTGCGTGAGGGAGTGTGGGAGGCATGAGGGTTGGGAGGGTGTGCAAGGGTGCATGGGGGTGCACAAGGGTGCGAGGGAGGTGTGGCAAGGGTTTGGGAGGGTGTGTGAGGGAGGCACAGGGGGGGTTGGGAAGGGTGTCCGAGGGTGTACAGGGGTGCGAGGGAGGCATGGTGATGGTCAGGGAGGGTGCACAAGGGAGGCACAGTGAGGCATGAGGAGAGTGTGCACGAGTGGCAGGGAGGCATGATGAGTCTTGGGGAGGGTGTGCGAGTGGCCACCATGGTGCGAGCACAGAGGAACTGTGGGAGGGTATGAGGTGGGGGACACTTACCCCAGCAACTTTGATCATGGGGTGCTGCAACCAGTTGTAAGTGCAAGCCAGTTGTCAAGCACCCAGATCACAATCACATGACTGCGGGGGTGCTCAGATGGTCAGAACTACAAAGAATGGTTGTAACCATATACTTGTACAGCTCAAAAGGATCAGCAAAGGCATGGAACATTTTAAAACCCTCATGTCATTCTGGATGTCTGGGGGCTAAATCAGAGCTTCCACTCCTTCTCCCCAACTCTGCTTGTGAAAGCTTGCATGGAAATACATATATATATTTACTTTTTTCTTTCAAAATTTGTTTTGTTCTTATTCTCTTAAAACTTTCTGTAATAAAAATTATATATATATATAATT